CAAGTTACAGCACCTTGTGGGACCAGGGGGACTTTGACCATTCTTAGACCCACACCACCTTCACCATGTCTTCGACATTAAAATCTTGATATCAACCTAATGTGCTTGATTTCTACCTGGGTTATTTTTGAATGAATTTTGTATCTCGTGGTACGTTGCACTGAGGAAAAAAGCCGAGCTAACCAAATCTCCCTGATTCAAATGAAGCAGTTCCTGTGACAGATTTACTTGGATCACAAAAGCCATTTTCTCTTTTCAAACAGAAGAAACACATTACAAATGTGTGGCCAACGGGAGAAGGCCAAGTTCAATGGCTTCCAGAGCAACTCACCAAATTCCGTTAGGCATTTTCCATTAGCTTTAGCCAAGAATCCATCGAGAAACATGAGCCAACTGACAAAAGCTCTCACTGAATCAATGTACAAAAGAGCTTAGAACCTACAGCTGCTCAGAACCTAAAGAAGTTACTCACGATGTCACAGAACCCCCAAGGTTCCAGTCAAACAAGTCATCTATTCCAAATATCTTCAAAGTCTACTCGAGATCACTGGACATACAACCTTCTGGAGAACAGCTGATTGTCCTAGGTTCTAACTCTATTGTTGGAGCTTATCTAGTAGCAAAAGTTCAAACATAAGACTATGTACAACCCAGAGGGATTCAAAATCAACCCTCTGAGGGTTAATAAGCCTGACAATGGGAGGGTGATTCACTGCCTGCCGCCCACTGAGCACAACTCCAAAATGGTCACAAGAATCACGGTCCCCAGGTCATTGTCACGGCTTATAACTTGTCAAATCTAACTCAATCATGATTCAATCTTTAACTAGCTAATGTCCCTCCCTCTGGAAATAGTATTACTCGTTTTCTAGCACCAGGAACAATGGATGGGAATTGCAAAGAGGCAACTTTAGATTTCATGTTGGGAAAAACTTCCTATCAGAGTTGGCTCTAACTGGGATGACGGGTTCATGGGAAGGATTCGAGCAAAGGCGGGGTATGCTGTATGTGGCTGCCCATGTCAATCAAGCAATAAGTAAGTGCTACAAGGAACCAATAGTCCCTGCCCACAAGGAACTTCCACTCTAATGGGGAAGGCAGCATGTGAATAAATGGGCACATACAAAGTGTATACAGAGTAAATGCAAGGTACTTTTTGTACTGGCAGCTGGGAAAACGGGAAAAGACCTCCTAGAGAAAGTGGCATGTGAGCTGAGTCTTGAGGACACTAGAGATTCCAGGAGGTGGAGATAAGGAGGGAGGGGGTGTGGGGTCTTCTAAGCATGGTAGACAGCGCGTACAAAGGCACAAAGGTAGGAAATGGATAGTCGCAGACAAGCGGCAGCACGTGAGCCAGTCTGGCTGCAATACTGGGAAAGGTAAGACCGAGCCAGGTTAGGAAGTGCTTTAAAAGTGAGAGTGCAGTTTACTGAAGGGAGAGCGAGGGGGCCGTTAAGGCTACGTCTTAGGAAAATCCCTTTCACTGCCGAGTGGAGTGGGGAGACCCTTCCATCTCTAATTTCTGTGATTCTGATTCTAAAGCCAAGGGCCCCAATTGTTTCACAATTAGCCTCGCAAACTTGACATGTTTCCAGAATTTGACCCTGTCTGAAACAGTACCACAGAGCTGACTACTCTGGACAAGGCAATCCCATGGGCCACAGATACCATGTTGCTTTTTTGACCTTTCAAAAGCAGGAATGTTCTCCTCCTGAGAAGGGGCCTAATCCAGGGTGTTTCTTTGGCTAACTTTCCCTCACAGACAATCCTGTGGTGCAGCAGAAAGAGCAGTGGATGTCATGGCAGAAGATGGGAAACCCACGCTCAGATTGTGTAGGGGTCAGTGACTTCTAGTGGCCCCAGTTTCTTCTTCTGTAAAATTCAATTCCACAAATGTTGATAAAGCCTCCACTGTGTTCCATGTACTCAGGAAGACAGTGCTAATACACCACCTACTTCCCAGAGGCCATGAGGATCTAAGGAGAGGAGATCCTGGAAAAGCATCGGGAGAGCTAGTTCTATTAAGTCCAATATATATAGATTTATATACACGGCTACGTGTATCTCTGAGTCTATATGGACAAAGACACAAAAGAATCACAAAGAGTACAGATAACGTAGATTGTGTGTGTGTGTGTACAACCTTTATCATGGGTTTGTGTGCTCTACTGAAGAGGGGCATGAAGCCAGGACTTTACACGGCCACTATGACTTTATATTCCATACTCTCCTCAAGCTCTCACTGCAGCAATGCAATCAATACTTTTTCATCCCCCATCAACTGACTTTCCCACTCATCCCCGCGGCTCTTTCAAAGCCTTCCAGGCTTCCTGGAGCCTCCACTGGCTCTCACCTCCCCACTCCCTCAGCTGATGGGTGCAGCTCCAATTATTTCACTGAGAAGGCTGAGGCCATTGAAGGGAGCTCCCCGTCTCCCCTATTCCTTACCTCACATCATTCAGATATCTTCCCCCACTATCTCCTCCTTCACTCCTGTCTCTCTTGATGAGGGAGCCCTTCTCTTTGCCAAGGCAAATCCTATATGTATTTCTGATGGAAATCTGCCCTCGTCTTCTCCATCTGACTGTCCCCTCTATTATCCTCACTCTCTCTCATCTTCCAATTACTTTCCATGTACTAGCTCCTTCCTTGCTCCCCACAAACACACCCGTGTCACACTCACCTCAAAAAGCCCACACTTGGCCTCACCACCCCAGCTAGCTACCGTCCCCGAGCTCTCCTCTCCTTTGCTAAACTTGGCTTTCTCAACACTTTTTTCTTTTCTCTACAAGCAGTGCCTGTCTCCTTTCCTCTTGCTTTACTCTACATTCTCTGCCACCTAGCTTTCACGCTCCTCCCTGGACCGAAACCCCTCTCTCCAAAGTCACCAAGTCTCCTGGTCTTTCCCCAGCCCTCGTCCTCCTCGACTGCTTGGCGGCCTCGCACAGCCAAGCCCCCTCCTCCCTCCTCGGTCTCCTTTGCCGGATCTTCGTCCAGCTCCCTGACAGGGGTGGTCCCCAGGCTCCGCCTTCCCTCCGATGCCCACACTTCAGCTCATCAGCTCTCGTGAGTTCAGTGATCAGGTCTACAAAGATGACTCCCAGGTGCACTGGTCTAGCCCCAAGCCCCAGTCCCACCTCTCCAACTAGACGCGCCCTAGGCAAACTTCACCCATCAAAAACAGAACTCTTCATCTTTTCCACCAGCCCGTCCCCTCTTCCCAGCTACCGTGAGGGCTCTCGTCCTCCCGATCACCCAGGCTCACGGGCCCACCGTGCTTCTCGCTTTCTCTCCACATCACACTCCGCGGATATGCTCTATGACAAGTCTTGTGTTCACACATCTCCTCCACGCCCCCACACGGCCACCAGCTCAGTTCAGGCCCTCATCACCGGCTGAGGAGGCTGCCTGCCACAAGTCTTGTCGCCCCAGGCACCAAAAGGATTTTCCTAAAGTGCAGGTCAGACCGCTGTGCCCCCCTCACTACTTCACGCTCTCCAGTAGTCCCCTAGGACTCGCTGGCACGGGACCCTTCTTGGTCCCTCCCTTCCTACCCTTCCGGGTTCACGTACTTTACCACCTGGCAACACCTGCCTTTCCGGCTGCGCGCACAGGATACTCCATCTCTGCGCCATGCCTTTTTCCCGCCTGTCTCCCACGTCTGCAATACTTTCCTCTGGCTTCCTTCAAGATTTCGCCCAAATTCCACCTTCTGCAGGGGGCCTTCCCAAGTCCCGCTCCCTCATGTTGGTACTCTCCCCTGAGCTTGCCTTCCATTCCTTCTCTCGGCTTCTATCACTCGTACCTCGTTGTCTGCATGGGATCTCCCCCACCTTCCTTTGTACCCCTGGTGTTGGCCACACAGGAGGCGCCTACTAACTGACTGACTCTAAGTCCAAGGCTTTAAAATGATCACGCCCTTAGCAAACATTAACATACGTTTTCATAAAAAAGAATAGGAAAAAAAACCTGAGGTCACAGAGCTCAGAATGAGCTGAGGCCAGATCTGAACTCAGGTCTTCCTGATTCCAATTCCAGCACTTGACCTCCTAGGCCACCTCTGGTTTGTCCCGGGTCCCCTGCTAGCCAGTGAGGTCATTAAGAAAGAGCACAGAGAATGGAGAAAAAAGGACCCAGGACAGGCCTGGAGGAACATTTCCCCAAGCAGGCTGCTTGATCTGGACGCAAATCGGCTCCCCCAAAAGTAAATCTTAACAAGCAATTTCTTTCCTGAGACTCTGACTAAAAAGAGTTAAGAAAATAAAATTAAATAATTAAAAAAACCAGAATTTTTAGGAGGAAAAAAAATCAAAATGACTGTTTATCCTTTGCTAAAGCACGAGTTGTTTATATTCACTGAGCTTACTTTGGAATAAACATAAAAACACACAAAAAAAATAAATTTAAATGATAGATACAGTGGTTTAATATTTAAGTAAAAATCAAAATCAAAAAACCCTGACCAATGTATAGATTATATTCTAAAGAACTTTGAGTATCAAGTTTTACAAGTAAAGTGTTAAATAAAATTTTCTTTAACATTCAGATAATGGCGGGCATTACTTCTGGAGCAATAAATGCCCTTCCATCAGAAAGCACACTGAAGCAATATAAAAAGATATTTTACAGAAAAAAAACGATAAGTTGTTCGTTTTTAAAAGAAAACTTCTTCAAAGCCAGTAAATTGAAGGGAGGCATTTCATCCATCTGCCCTCCCCACCCCCCATCCCCTCAACCAACTCCCTCCATTTCAAAGTAATCCCATTAGGTCCAAAACTCAAAGTCAGAGGAGCAAAAGAAGCCCACGACCAGCCCAGCCTGACAGCTGTTTGGTCGGTCAGCAGCCAGCGGATGAAAGGTTTTCAAGGCAAAGAACTCCAACTTTGTCCTCTCAAAAAACTGTCCCCTCCCTCCCAACTGCAGGACTTGGACGTCATTTAGGAATTTTTAGGAAAATTCTGCTCCTAATTATTCATGTCCTGGTTACTGGCAGCACTTACTGTGTGAAAATTGATCATTTCCTGAAGACTTTCCGAAAATTTGGTCAAGCTTGTCTGCAAACGAGAGAAATTAAGATAAAATCAGTAGGCAAAGGGAAGGGGAAGGGGATTAGCATTTATAAAGCACCTGCCAGGCACTGGGCTAAGTGCTTGGTTTTGTTTTTTGAACAAATATTCTTTCATTTTTATCATTAAAACCTAAAGTAGAGACCACAGATATCTGTGGCCCAGCTGAGACAAGATTTGTAGAAGTGAAAGCTGCTATTGATCACTGAAGCCAAGACCTCACAAGGGTTTGACAGGTATTAAGAATGTGACACCCTGGAAAACAGAATACTCAATCTCACACCACCACGGCTATGAAGGCGGGGGGAGAGCGGAATCCAGGCCCACAGCCGAACACAGCCAGGAGGCCGCTGCGCTTTGTTCTGAGCTCTCTCACTTCTATGCATGATACATGATGCTTAAAGCGACCCATCAGAGAGTCTGACCACCCCAGGCCTGCAGAGGAAAACTCTCAACCTACCAAGAGTCTCCACTCTGATGAGGCTGAACGTAAATGAAACTTTCAGTAAAAGTCAGCCCCAGTTCGGGCTCACTTATTTAACTAGAATATCTGGTCATCTGTGCTGATATCACCCTTAGGGAATGTCTCTCATCCCTGTCCCCACAGGTAAGAAAGCCACAAAATTACCCAAATATTTGCTGGGGAGTTGGAGCCACAGATTCTAAGTCCCTGCAAATACTCTGGACAGTGACGTGACCTCTCGGGCCTCAGCCTCCTCTCACACATAAAATAGAGGTGGAGAAGCGAGGAGGAGACAAGGCCCCAGGGGCCTGAACTGTACCACCTCTGAGTCTTTGGCTAGAAAGCCCAAAGGGCAGCACCACTGCACAGAAGGGCACAAGGAGGGCAGCGCAACCTTGGTTTTGTGACTTGGGAAATCTTCTACTACATTTTAAATCATCTGTTTTCCTAACTGTCTTTATTTTAATACTCACCTCTACTACCGTATCTTTACTAGAATACTGGGCCAAGTCTCGAATTCCGTTCACAAACTGCTTATTTGCGGCACAAAAGGCTTTTCCAGTATCAATCATCACAATACAAAGTTTTACAAGCTGAAAAAAGGAAAATGTCTCAGTTTTACAAATCCTTTCCATAAGGGAGTATGAACACCTTATTTGCATCACAGATGAAAGCTCATTGGACTTCATCATTACACAAAATGACTAGGCAGTTCACAGAAACAGCTCCAGGTGACCAAATGTGACTCTTACTCTAAGCCTGCAGTATCCAGGTAGAGCCCCTCTCAAACCCACCCCCAGACTGTATCCATTAAGAAGCAAACCAGGAACAGCTCCAGTGAACACAGCCCCATGAGCTGATCCAAACTGGCCAGCCAGAAAACCTCCCAGACTTCTCAGAACTGCTGTCTACTCCTCAGCTCCTTGGAATTCATACAGAACAAACGATGCTGGCTAGAAGACATCTGGAAAGCACAGACAAGAAATTAAAGACTGTGGAGGCAGAGGCGGCTGTGTCCACCGATGGCAAGGGATCAGAGGCAAGGGCTTCAGAACACAAAGACAAATCAGAGACGTGAACCGGCTGGCCCAATCACTGTACTAAAACAGGAAATTAGGGTGAAATCAGTATCTCCCATCATACAGCGCAGTAAGCTCCAAGTGGATATTAGGCCTGGATAGAAAAGGCTAGAGAAGATGCCTTTCACAACTACATTTAGGGGAAGAATGCTTATCCAACCAAGAGGACAGAGGATCACAGGAGAAAAAACGGACAACTGTAATTACATAAAATTGAAAGCTTTAGCATAAAGCCAATAAAAGTCAAAAACGGAAGGGAAACTGTTAACTGGGGGGGAAAAATCTTTGAAGCAAGTAAAGGTTTAACAGCCTTATTAGATATGTAGGGAATTGCTACAAATAAAAACGAACAAGAATCATTGCCAAATAGATAAACAAAGGATACAAACAGGCAATCCTCAAGGCAAGAAATCCAAACAATCAGTGGCCAGATGGAAAAACTCTCCAAATCGCTAATAATGAAATAAATACGAATTAAAATAACTGAGGTTCTACCTGCCATCAAATTTCAAAGATGGGCAAAAAAGGAGGATGACAATTGTCCGAGGGGTTGTGGGAAGAAAGGCGCACTAGTACACTGTTAGTAGAACTGTAAATTGGTCTAGTCATTCTGCAAAGTGATTTAGAGCTAGACTCATTGACAGAGGCAGCTGGATGGGGCAATGCATAGTGTCAGGCCTGCAATCAGGAAGACCGGCGTACTAATACAGCCGTATGATCCTGGAGAAGTCACTTAATTGTTATTTGCCTCAGTTTCCTCAACTGTAAAATGATCATAATAATGGCACCTGCGCCTCAAAGAGCTCTTGTGAGGATCCCATGAGGCCATATTTGGAAAGTGTCTAGCACAGTGCTGGTGCTCTAGAAATGCCAGCTATCGACATTCTTATTCCCTTCCCCTGCCCTGACACCATTGCTGGCCTTCAACCCAAAGAGGTAAACAAATCAGGAGGGAAAAGATGGACATGTCAAACATATTTACATGACTGCTTTTGTTATAGGAAAGACCTGAGAATGAGAGCTTGCCCGTCACCTAGGGAATGACTGAACAACTTAGGCTATGGGAATGGAATGGCTGTTTTTATTACTTTCTGAGGTTTGGGGTTGTTTTTGTAAAGAAAGTAGGCAGTTTCTGCAAGCCGAAAAGGCTGGGTTTGCCTGATATCTTACACTTCCAATCCAAAGGAAACAGCAAACAGTAAGAAAAAAGGAGCAAACTGCCCACATGTTATCTACCTACTGAGATGAAAACCAAGAAAAAAGAGCTTCATGTGAACATGTGAACATCATGTGAATAGCAGTGAAGTCGCCCAGAAATTCACGTGACCAAAAGTCTAAGAAAGGTGCAAAACACGGCACTCCCGGGCCTCAGACGTCTCCATACAAATGCATCAAGCATGGGCAATAAGCCGTGAAGCTGAGATCTCGATGAAAGGAGGCCAACCGGATTTTTTCACAGGTATCACTGAGTCAGGGCAGAATGGGAACCTGGAAGGGAAGCGAACTCTGGAAAAGCACAGCAGATTCAAGAGAAAGGGGACTGGCTCAAGGTGGGGCGAGGAACACAGGGGAGGAGAGCAGCACTGGGTATTGAGAAGACAGGCTCCCAAGGAAATCCAGAAACCCAGAGGAAAACGTGGTGGGAGCCACGGGTGTGAAGGAGGAGTTAGAGGGACGGCAGAAGCCTGGCAGAGAAGCATGATCAGGGAACAGGGACTTCATTCATTTAGGCTTTGTGGGAGAGCTCTCTCTTACTCGGTCCAAAGCAGAGCAGCTAACAACAATGTCCAAAGGGCACAGGAAGGAAGCGGGAACGTCACCACCCAGGGAGAGCTGGTCGCTGAGGAATAGCTGGCAGGACACGGGGCACAGGATCACTCCACCTTACAATCTGTGACGGAGGCAGATGGGAAAGCTGGAGGTCAAAGGATCCAGGGAAGGGAGAAGTCGGGTCCCAGGGACTAAAATTCTACCAGGCAAGCGCGCCCAGGAGGGAAGAGAATCAAGTTCTCAAGAATAAATTCTGAAGACACAAAGAGAAATAATTCTAATGAGGAAGAAAAAGAGTTTTGTGAAGAGGGCAACGCATTAATCAACTTAGTTTTTAAAAACCACAGAGAATGTGGAAGGAATAACACAGCAACAATCGCAATAACTAATGCTCATCTAGAACCTGAGGGGAACCCACTCCAGAACCCAGGAAGGTCCGACTTCGTGGCAACGAAAGGGCTGCTGGGAAGGTAGTGTTAATCCAAGGGCTCCACACCAGCTCAGGAAGGGGTAGGGGTGGCTGGGGCAGCATCCAGACAAAAGTGCCAAGTGGGAACTGGGAAATGGGGGTCAGGGCACAGCAGGGCAAGGGTTCCCTGAGGTCCCCTCTGGCAGCCGGGCGGCTGTCAGGCTGAGGCAGAGGACGGGCAGGTCCCTGGTTCCCTGGGGTTGCTCCTGGACTAGAAACCCCAGGAGGACAGAAGCTGCATCTTAGCTAATTTTTTCATTTGGACACAGAGCTCAGCACAGCACTCTCATTCCAGCTGGCATCTAATAAGCATTTTTTGGCATGAACCCTAGCATTGGTGTGCTATTAACCTCAGGACTATTCTGACTCTCTATATAATAATTAAGAGGAAATTCAAAGACAAAAATCAGAGAAACCAGCAGAAATACAGAAATCAAGAATCAGCAAACACTTTCCCCATACACAGAAGCTGACTTCTTGAGATTTATTCATGGCCATGACCATTTCTGGAAAAGTCACTAAAAACAAAAAGTCCCAGACAGGAAACAAACTTTTTCCTACTGCATACCGGTGTGAAACTGGGCATAGCCAAAGCTGTACCCGAACATCACTAACGTAACTATTTCACTATCTGATTATTAAGCAGCAGAGAATGACGGCTGCCATCTTGTGGGATCAATGTCAATATCCCCCAAGCTGCTTTCATGGGTCTATGATAACATTGGATGAGGATGACTTCAGTCTTTGCTTACAGGTTTTCAGCACCTGTGGATTATGAGGGCAAGTCTGACTGGACTTACCTTATCTAGCTTGAGTTCCAACTCCGCCACGTCTCCTTCCACCTCTTCCAAAGCAGCCCTGCAAGGGTTACCAGAAAGCACTTGATTAAGATGCCTTCACTCCCCAACCCACATCGACCATGCCTCCTGCCTTACATCAAGTCATTCCCGACCCAGTCAGGATACAAGCAGGCTAAAGAGCAAGCTCCTGGTTGCAAAGGTCCCCGGGATTCGGGAAGGCTCAAGTCTATGCCATGAAGGGAGGTCAACAGGACGATCTGGCAAACGAGATCATGATTCTGTGTAACCCAATCCTTTCCAGAAAAGGGGGCCCTGTTGACAAGGCAGCCTGACTCTGACCCAGGACATTCTTATCACATTCTGTTTCTGTTCCTTTTCTGGTTGGACCAGATCTATAATCTCATAAGCTCCCAGGGAGGAAACTCCATCCACAATGCAGGTCAATTTACAGGCGTAAAAATAGAAACATGAGGAATTCAACCTCTTACACAACAATTAAATTGCTGGACAACAAAAGCATCGCCGGCAAGAGGAGCTGCTCTGGACAGAGCAGCGTCAGTATTCCTTTGGGGACTTCCTATGGCCTTAAGAAGCCGAGTCACCTGCTCTCCCAACCATCTCCTAGTTGGGGGACAGAGAAAAAGAAATCAAGGAAAGGGAAGGAGCAGAGGAAGAAGAAGCCCAAGGGGAAATCCCTGCCGAACCAGGCCAATGAAGCTCCAAACAAAATGGACAAAAGGGTAGAGGAACTGACCACCTGATATTATACAGACCAATATCGGCCACTGGAACTGATTGACATTAAAGACAAACCTACTACAAGAAAACTAAAATCTCTACTTGGAAAAACTGAGAGAAAATTTCTAACTATCTAGTCACTTGTTTTGATATAGCAAAAAAATGCCTCTTCTCATACATATGAAAAGCATTTGTACAAGCTGCTTCTTCTAATCCCCAAATTCACTTTGATGTGTGTGTTTTGGTGGAAACCACGTCGCCTAGCAGAAAGGTCCTCGGCCACAGACGGTGACCTAAAACAAAGGCAGAGCTGGAGACTGTGGGCTCCAGGCCCTTCCTTATTCATGACAATGTGACAACAACCAAAATGAACTGGAGATCAATACGGGATCTCACAGGCTACCAGTAAGAGCTAGCAGGACGAAACCCAGGCCTGCACGTGGCTCCGGACGGTCTGGCTTATTCCAAAGAAACAGGGCAGGGAAATGAGGGAGCTGGGGACATCAGACAGTCTGAAGGGATACTCCTGAGAGGAAATCCGGGAATCCAAGCAGGAAAAGCACAACGGATGATAATGGAGGGCAAAAGAGAAGCATTTCGGTTATAAGCGTGTACTGGAGCCTGCCTAGACATAAGCGTTCAAGAAGCACCTTAAGTTTGGAGGAAGAAAAAGGGTGAATTCTACCCTGCACAAATAACAGGCATTTGGCTTGGGGTAACGAAATCCCCAGCTCCTGAAAGCATTGATAAATGGGCATAGTGAGCCCTCACTGTCAGTGATACACCAAAAAGCTGTGGGAGACACGAGAGGCGCTGCTATGGGGCTGGAAAGGGACCAGCAGCCCAGGTTTCAAAGATTAAAACTAAGAACTGTGGGCTCAGATTCTAGGGGCCAGTCTTAAGCAAATGCACTTGCCATGTGCTTGGCCAACTCTGAGAGGGGACAATGAAGAAACTGGCTGGTGCGTGTCCAGAAGAGCAGCTTCACCAGGAAGAGCTGAGGGCACGGCAATGGCCGGCTGGAGGAGCTCCCGGGACCTCTCCAGGGTCTCTACTAGCAAACAGACAGGTCGCTCAGACAACTACAGCTCTTGGGGAAGAGATGGCAGGCTGTGAGCTGGCCAAGAGCACCCCGCAAGTCCAGAGATGTGGAACTTAGCCTCTGACGGCCCCACGTCCACTTGGTGGAAGGTCTCCAGTGGAGGGCCCCAGGGATCTGTGCCGGCCCTGGGCTTCCAGCATTTGGCATTTAGCATAACAGTATTTGGCATTTTTATCAGTGGCACGCCTGCCAATTTTCCAGGCGGCACCAAGCAGAGAGGGAGGTGAATTCACTGGACGATGGACTCAAAATCAATCGTTCAAACAGCAAGCATTTACTAAGCACTCACTATGTGCCAGGCACCGTGCTAACTGCCAAGGACACAAAGACGAGCCAAGCCAGCCCTGTATTCAAACTACGGAAACAGCATTTACCGATCTAGTAGAAACACATGTTGTAGGCGCAGTAACAATCGCCAACATTAATAACACTGGGAGACTTGCTTAACATTTTACTACAGTTATCTCACGTGTTCTTCCCAACAATTCTGCCAGGCAGGTACTATTGTCCCCTTTTTGCAGATGGGGAAACTGAGGCTGAGAGAAGTCAGCTGGCCTGCCCACAGTCACAGAGCAGAGAAGGGTGGGCAGGGCTTTCCGACTCCAAAGCTGGCCTTGTCCACTACAGCACCAACCTCCAGGCTCCACTCACAAATGGCAGCCCGTGAGTTCAGTCTTGACAGAAGCCAGGGATTCTAAGAGCGGGAGATGGGAAAGGAAAGCGTTCTAGGCGTGGGGGCGGCCGATCAATGATTCAGTCTCTACTGTGCTAAGTAAGCTACAGTCCGTCTAAAGTGTGGAGAGGAGAGAGGGTGCGTCATGGGCAACAGTGAGTAAGACTAAGCCCAAGTCACACTTGCCTTCACAAATGGAGACGCTCAACGGGTAGTTTGGGCCTTTGTGTGAAGGGGAGGCTCAGTGAGTCAGCAAAGGGATGTGGGAGCCAAAGAAGCGAATGCAGAACTTTCAGAAGCAGGAGGTGACAGTCCTGCCATCCTTTGGCCAGAGCTCTCTGGGAGACCTGGGGTCAGGCCTCGGGCCGCCAGGGAGGGACCCGACGGGCGGCTGCAGAACCTCTGGAACATCATTTTGGCAGCTACAGAAAAGAGGGATGGGGGGCCGGGGTTACTGAGGTTACTGCCATAGGCCAACAGGAGGGACGTGCCGCCTGAGAGGCTGCTCGTGTGCAGAGAAGGGCATGGATGGAAGGGTGTCTGGAGGTACAATAAGACTGGGAAATGACCAGATGGGAGGTGAGGTAAGGTGAAAGTGGATGGCAACGCTGGCAGCCTGAGGATCTGGGAGAGGGCAGTGCCCTGTGGGAGCTGGGAAGTCAGAACTAGGAAAAGAAAGTCACCATAAAGCCAGCCAGCAAAAACGAGCCCTGTGGCCGTGCCTTCCTCATATGGATGAGGACACCGCCTGAGTGAGTCCATTTCTCCATTCATTTCAGTGTGGGAGAGGAGGGTGACAAGGGAGTGCCCACTGAGCAGCACAAGAGGCACTGGTGGCATCGGGGGCATCCGCAGCTCATAAACAAGCTTGCCAAGGACCCAGTCGTGGCGGAAACCGAGGATCTGCTGCCCTGCCAAAAGCCATGGGTCTGAATCAGATCCCAAAGCCCTTGAGAAGCCACTTTGGGAAGAATGCCAGAGTGGAAGGATGCTACGGGCAGATGCAACAGCTTCAAGGTTTTACTCTAAAACTGCTAACACAAGTTCATTTTTCAAATATAGATGTCCTGTGCTTGAGGGAGCAGACTTAATCCTGAAAATCTGTGGATAAAATGTGTTTTACGTGCACCGAGTGAGTTTGCCTTTTAACAGACTCCTTTTTATAAGGTGATCGTCCACTAATTTATTCAGTAAATCTGGGGACAAACAAACCACCACCAAAAATAATCTAAGTTGGAGGGCACGGAAAGCTGGCTGCAGAGACAAGAATTCTAGCGTGAATTCTAGGCCTTCCTCAGTCACATACTGCAACCTTCACTCTGCTAATTTAAAAGACAACGAAACGTCACGGATCAAAGAAGGAACAAAAGGAAGATGGGAAGAAGTACTACCACGCATCACAAATTTGTCCAGCCAAAGGGAGTTTGTTTTCCTACTGTAATGGGAAAACACCAGCACTTTCAGCACTAAAAATACTCCACATCAACTCAACAGCAGGCCTCCCAGCACAGCAGCCACTTTTGGGCCTTCCCAAAGTACCCTTCAGGCGCAGCTAGGTAGAGCAGTGGATAGAGCTCCGGCCTTGGAGTCAGGAGGACCCGAATCCAAATGCGACCTCAGAAACTTGACACTTACTAGCTGTGTGACCCTGGGCAAGTCACTTAACTCCAACTGCCTCACCAAAAGAAAAAAGCAAAAAAACCAAAGTGCCCTTCTGTGGCCAGCGGCAGAGCCACTTTATTGGGGACACATTATTTCCACGTACCTGGTCTTTTAGCAATAACCCCCAATCTAATGCAGTCCTCATATTAAAACAAGCCCAAGAGATATTTGAGAAAACCTTTCTCACAAACTAACACATCATCAGAATATAAAACTTAACAATGGATTAAAAGTTAAAATGACTGGAGATCTCTCTTTTAAGACTGATTCCCCCTTTAATCTCAGAAGTCTTTAAGGAACCAAGATATCTGTCCCCTTTTTCAAAAAAAAAAAAAAAAAAAAAAAGAGAAACCCTCAATAAGGGCTGCCTAGCTATGTAGCCTCAGGCAGCTTACTTCCTGGCTTTTGGCTATATGAAATAGGGCGGATGTGGGCCAGCAAAGCTTGCAAGTTCCCTCTGGCCTGAAGATCCTGGGATTCTCAGCCTTCAGAATGCTCCCCGAGTGCCAAGGAGCAGCAATCAGCATCTGGATGTGATTTTCCTTCCCAGCTCCTATGTCTCTGTCTCTCCAAAACTCTCCCTGGGAAAGATCTTGTCTCAGGGGCCTGCGCAGAACTCCCTGCTGATCTACAAAGCTCAGCCACTAAGAAAAAGGAAGAAGAAAGGGAAACGCTGCTTTAAGAGCGTGCCAGTTAATTCAATTGTTTGGACAAAGGCTTCGCTCTCTATCTGTACCTGTATATTTCTGAAAGAGTACTGTAAGAAAAGAAAAACTTCGTAGTTGTTGCTGTTAAAAACCCTGGGTACAAAAAAGAGGCAGTAAGGACAGGAAACTCTGGCTCTTCCTGCCCCTCCCCCTCTAGCCAGAGTAAAACCACCAAA